CAGCAGGCTCTCTCTCTTGTCTAGCCAAAATCACAGACACGCCAAAATGAGCGCCGAGGTGGTGGTGCTGGCGCGATCTTCCGTCAGAGCAACCAATCAGAAGCGCAGTCAAAAAAAGACGCCGTGACTGTCTGAAAATGCACTACGAGCCCAAAGAGAAGACTCAGACGTCCATAGTAGTCGGAGATACATGCGGTTGGTTGACCGGCGTTAGCATTTCAGTCAGCGGGGCACACTAGATCCTACATACTAAACACATTCTTCCACTGCGTAGGAATTGACCTGTAGCGAATGCAAGGAGCATAAAGGCTCGCGAGGAGGCCGATGCAGGGGGAGACTAGGCATCACATTTCCTGATAAAAAATAACGGACCGCATAAAGAAAAAGAGCCCTGAGGAGAAGTAGATGTAATCACGAGGACAGGACATCAATTCGTCTGACGTTTCGGTTTCGGTCACGGATTAAGCATCAGTGAGGATAGCAGAAACGGGTAACAGAGAGTTGCATATTTATAGGATACAGTTACTACTACACACTTATAGCAATTAACAATCGAGGATCGTTGCCCACTTGTGCGCTAATTACTTCATTGCGGGTGGGGACCTGCTCGAACTGTCATCAAACCTGTTCGACATGGGCCTGATTATCACTCGGCTACCTGGCTTCCCTGCGTTTCCCGATTGGCGATTTTCTTCGGCCAAACTGATCAACAGCATCGAATATGGATTCAGAAAATCGTTGCAATTGTTTATAGACTGGGGCCCCGTAACCCAGGACTCAAGTGACTCGCGACACACGATTGTCACCTCTCGCGAGAATTCCGGCCTCGTTAAATCTGAATGTGTGACCGGTACTCATCGAATGAGCCACTACTTGGGAATCTGCGTTTGAGAACTACCCGTTTCTGCTATTGTCTCTGATGGTAGATCCGCGACAGAATTCAAAACGTCAGACAGATAAAATTGTTGGTCAAACGATCACATCGACTTCTTCTCAATTACTTTCTGAGACTCCCATTTTCGCTTGCATTGGCAACAAATTGTCCGATCATCAAGTGTCTAGATCGAAAGACTCACGGGGTTCGAAGTTGGTCTCAGCAGTTCATTAAGTCAAACGGTTGACCACTCCAAATACGATCTCTCGTCTCGGTCACATGGGTGTGACGTTTATCAGTACGACTTGACTACGCGGAAAGGGAGTGAATATGGGCACTTTACTTGGACAGAGAGATTTTTCTACAGCCGCCCACACAGGCACTCTTTTCGATACGTGCTAGCCAGTATTGCCAGAGATCGCAGCTGTTGTATGCTTCTGTAAGTAAATAAAACATATCCTGCGAAAATGGATGCTTGATCGACTTCAAAAAGGACTGAATTATAGCAGCTGAGTGGAACGGTGAGATAATAACTGTTTGGCACATTTAATAACCGAGCGGCTACACATTAACAGTAATCTAAAGGGTTTTTAAATTGGCTGGGGCCTGGAGAAGGGGAAGGTCAACGGCTCCTTATCATTATTTTCCTCACAATAAACCATCTAACGGGTTTGAAGTTATCAGGGTGCGCTAAGAACCGTAGTTTGAACAGTTTTCAATTGACGATATTGTTCTAGCGGTGACAAGCTGAGATGTCACCGTCTGATTACGTCCTGTTTGAATCCCCAAGGAAGAATACAACAACAAGGGCGCAAAAGTTGCAGCAAATACAGATATAACTCGGACTGCGTGGTTAACTCAGCGGATGTCTGTGCGGAGTGGCCAACTGCTGGGCTGAAAGAGTCAGATTGCAATGGCTCCTTCTCAATGTAGTCTCTATGGCATTCCTAACGCGAGGGATCCGAGC